CAATGAAGGCAATACTATAGAGGAAAATTTATTGCATGGACTTCATTTATTAAAAGAAAAAAAAGTCAACAAATAAATGATTTAACATTACATCTCAAAGCCCTAGAAAAAGAAGAACAAATAAACACCAAAAGCAGTAGAAGAAAAGAAATAATTAAAACCAGAGATTAAATTGAAACAAAAGGAAGAGTTGGAAAAAATTGACAAAACACAAAATTGGTTCTTTGAAAAAATAAATAAAATTGACAAACCCTTAGCCATGCATAAAAACTCAAATTACTGATATATGTGATGAAAAAGAAAATATCACAACAGACACTACAGAAATTCAGAAGATAATTATTTTGAAAACTTGTACTCCAATAAAATAGAAAATATCAAAGACATTAACATATTTCTAGAGTCATATGATTTGCCAAAATTGAATCAGGATGATATACACAATTTAAACAGATCAGTTTCAAGCAATAAAATATAAGATGTCATCAGAAGACTGCCAACCAAGAAAACCCCAGGACTGGATGGATACACAGCTGAGTTATAAGACCTTTAAAGAAGAACTAATAACAATACTCCTCAAATTATTTTATGAAACAGAAAAAGAGATAGCACTTCCAAACTTATTCTATGAGATCAATATCACCCTGATTCCAAAAGCAGGCAAAGACATATCAAAAAGAAAAAGAAGAAAAGAAAACTTCAGACCAATATCTCTAATGAATATTGATGTAAAAATTCTCAATAAAATTCTGGCAAATCAAATACAAAAACATCAAAAGACAGTGAATCATGATCAACTGGGGTTCATCCTAGGGATGCAAGGATTGGTTCAACATACGGAAATCAATAAATGTAATTCATCACATCAATAGGCTTAAAGATAAGAATCATATGATCATCTCAATAGATTTAGAAAAAGCATTTGACAAAATACAGCACCCCTTCATGTTCAAAACACTAGAAAAACTAGGGATAGTAGGAACATACCTCAACATCATAAAAGCTATCTATGCTAAGCCCCAGGCCAACATCATTTTAAATGAAAAAATTGAAAGAATTCTCTCTAAAAACTGGAATGAGACAGGGATGCCCTCTTTTACCACTTCTATTTAACATAGTTCTTGAAACACTGGCCAGTACAATTAGACAGATGAAAGAAATTAAAGTGATAATGATAGGAAAAGATGAATTCAAATTATAACTATTTGCCTGATGATATGATTCTATACCTAGAAGACCAAAAAAATTCCACCATAAAACTTTTATAACTAGTAAATGAATTCAACAAAGTCGCAGGATATAAAATCAACACCCATTAATTAAAAGCATTTCTTTACATTAGTGATAAAACTTCTGAAAGGGAAACGATAAACTACCCCATTTACAATAGCCTCAAACAAAAAATAAAGTACTTGGGAATCAATTTAGAGGTAAAAAACCTCTACATGGAAAACTACAAAACACTAAAGAAGAAATTAAATAAGACCATAGAAGATGAAAGATCTGCCTTGTTCTTGAATAGGCAGAATTATTGTCAAATATGACCATACTATCAAATATTGTCAAAATGACCATCCTACCAAAAGTATTATACATATTTAATGCAATTCCAATCAAAATCCCAATGACATTCCTCATAGAAATAGAAAAAGCAGTCATGAAATTCATCTGTAAAAATAACAGACCCAGAATAGCTAAAGCAATCCTTAGCAGTAAGAGTGAAGCAGATGTCATCACTATACCAGAACTTAAACTATACTACAAGCAATAGTAACAAAAACAACATGGTATTGGCACCAAAATAGACTTGTAGATCAATGGTACAGAATAGAGGACTCAGAGACAAATCCACATAATTACTGTTATCTTCTATTAGACAAAAGCTTCAAAAACATATATTGGAGAAAAGATAACCTTCAACAAATGGTGCTGGGAAAACTGGAAATACATATGCAACAAAATGAAATTAAACCCCTATCTCTCACCATGCACAAAACGCAACAAAGTGGATCAAACACCTAGGAATTAAATCAGAGAAACTATGCCATTAGAAGAAAAAGTAGACCTAAATCTCCATCATGTCAGATTAGGCCCCCGACTTCCTTAATAAGCCTCCTATAGTGCAAGAATTAAAATCAAGAATCAATAAATGGGATGGCTTCAAACCCAAAAGCTTCTTCTAAGTAAAAGAAACAATCTGTGAAGTGAATAGAGAGCCTACATCTTGGGAGCAAATTTTTACCACACGCACATCAGATACAGCACTAATCTCTAGGATATATAAAGAACTCTAAAAATTTTAAGACCAAAAAACAAATAACCCAATCAATAAAAGGGTGAAGGAACTGAAGAGACACTTCTCAGAAGATGATGATATACAATCAATCAACAAATATAAGAAAAAATATTCAACATCTCTAACAATTAGAAAAATACAAATCAAAATTACTCAAAGAACAGACATTATTACTTTATGTATATATGTGACTGTATGACCAATATGATTCTACAATATGTACACTCAGAAAAATGAGAAATTATATCACATCTATGTATGATATATCAAAGTATATAAGTGCATTGTACTATCATTATAACTAATTAAAACAAATAAAAAATAATTTTAAAAATTAGTCAAAGATTTCATCTCACTTCAGTCAGAATGACAGCTATCAAGAATACAAACAACAATAAGTGTTGGCGAGGTTGTGGGGGGAAAGGCACACTCATACAATGCTGGCAGGAATGCAAATTGGTATAGCCAATAATGGAAAGCAGTATGAAGAATCCTTGGAAAACCAGGAATGGAACCACCATTTGAACCAGCTACCCCACTCCTTGTTTTATACCCAAAGGACTTAAAAACAGCATATTCGAGGACACAACCATATACATATATTTTTTTTCATAGCTTAAATCATTTTTACTTAATCCATTTACAAAGATTTATTGCATGGTCTTAAAACATGTTCTATTTTGTTAAGAAGAATAGTGTTCAAGAATGCTATATTCTTGCTGATTTTCTGCCTACTTGTTCTATCACTTATTGAATAAGAGATATTGAAATCTCAGATGGTACTTGTGATTTCTCTATTTCTTTTGGAAGTTCTATCAGTTTTGCCTCATGTATTTTGAAACTGTTATTAGATGCACAATCATGCAGGCTTGTATGTTACCTTAGTTAATTGAGCCTTTTATCATTGTGAATAAGCAGATACTTGACACACTTGAGCTCCCTGGTAGCAACGGAGGTGGCTATGAATTATTACAGTAGTACAGTTATCCAACATCTTAATTTTTTTTTACTTTTCTCTTGACGTTTATACCAGATATAGTCTGCTTGTGTGCATAAATTTGATAAATTTTAACTTTTTATAGTAAATTTGTATATATCTAATTATAATAAATGATAAAACAGACCATTATCTACAACTACATATGTTTTATGTATTCCTGACATAACTTTTCTTAGTTTTTTTCAATACTTCTAGATTATGTGGTTTGTCTGAAACTTTTTTCAAATTATCTCAAACCTCCAAAAGAAAAATAAGTGCTCATATCAGTGACCTACACAGTTTCAACCATATTGTTCAAAGTCAGCTATAGTTAGGTTTGTCTGCCATCACACTTGTTGCATTCTCTACAAATGTAATCTGGCTTTAAAACATATTATTCATGCCTCAATTTTTTTTTTGAAATTTATTTTGATTTACAGTTTAGTTACTTACAAACAGCTTGATCCTTCCTGGTCTTGTTTTTGTCATTTGTTAGGTGTACCAGAGCAGGGCTCATCCTAGAATGGATTCCTCACTGCTGAGGTTTGCCTTTCTTATTACTTTATCCATTTCCTGTGGAAATGTGCAGCCTGGCTGATGGCAATGGGCTCTCTTCCTGGCATTATGTGAGCACAGGCACAGTTTCCTCCAAGTTTTTCAGTTGTTTTTTTCCCTCAGTCTCAATTTCCTGGCACAAATGCATTCTTTGTTACTCTGCTAAATATTCAAGGTGGACCCTCTGCAGATCTCCAGGGCTCTTCTCAGTGCTTTTACTCTCTCCTTTTTTTGGGGGGGGCGGCGGGGTGGTACTGGAGATTGAACTCAGGGGTCCGTGATCTCTGAGCACATTCCCAGCCCTATTTTGTATTTTATTTAGAGATAGGGCTCCACTGAGTTGCTTAATGCCCTGCTTTTGCTGAGGTTGTCTTTGAACTCAAGTTCCTCCTGCCTCAGGCTTCTGAACCACTGGGATTACAGGAGTGCACCACTGCACCAGGCTCTGCTCTCTCATCTTTAGTGTTATGTCCTGTGATCTCTATCTGACTTGTTTTACCAGACTCTCAGCTTTAGCCCCTCTGCTTGAGTCTGGTCAAGTGGACTCAGTTTCTTCTCATTGTGTCATGGCCTGAAAACTGTCAGAGCAGAAAGCTAAGATATTAGAAAGGCTTGCTTCCTTTGTATCCTGTCTACTCAGGTATCATTTTCTTCAAGTCTGTCATCTTAAAATTTATTATTTAAGGTATTTTGTCTGTTTTGATTTTGAAATGGAAATCAGTACTGCCTATTACTCCATTTGGACTAGAAGCAGATTGCCAAAATCCTCAGCTATAGATTGGCTAGAATTCTCTTCCTCATCCTTTGCCTAACTGCTTTCTCCTCCTCATCCTTCATTTATCATGATAGCCATCCCTTCCTCAGGGATATTTTCCCAGGCCAGGTAGAGATCCAGTTCCCTGATGTGATCCTAGAACTCTATTTGCTTACAGTATATATCTTAATTTATATTGGTCATTTTCTTTGTCATTCTTCTTCAGTAGACTTTAAGATAAAACAGAGTAGAGTCATATGTTTTGTCTGCAGAGCTTTAATATAATGTGTTCCATACTGTCGGCCCTCAGTACACATTAGTTCAATATATGAATGAGCAATTGTAAAAATGAAGTCCTTTATTCACAAAAAATACTCATATGTTTTATTTCTATCTTTTTCTTCTCCCTGATACAGATTCTGTTAGTCTATTAAAAATCTGTGATGCAGTTCATTCATTTAAAAGATTAATAAAACTTAAAAAAAATCACTGTAAACTACTTAAAGCAAAAATTTTAAAAGTGGAAAATAAGGTCACTGGATTGCAAAAGGAGCTCTCAGAAACAAAAGAAGTGAAATCACACTTAGAGCATGAAAAAGTAGAACAGGAACAAGAGCTTTGCAATCTAAGGTATGATAGCCTAGTTTTTGTTTGTTTAATTTGTTTTTTTAAAGAAATGTTTGAACAATTTCCTTTATACTACAGATATGTAGAGGAGTTTTTATAATTACTCCTTCTAGGGTTTGTAGGGGAGAAAATGTCTCAATCTTGTGGACTATGAAACATTGGAAATCAATTTTTCAGTATAAATACTTCTAATAATTAAAGGAATATTATTCCAAGTTACAATTTTAATGGCTATATGGGATACAACAGTAGAAAAATTTCACTACTTATTTAGTGAGAAGAACTCTGATTTTTTAATTTTTTTTTTTGTATTGCAAATATGGTTGTAAGGAACATCATTTAAATTAATAATTGTCTATATTTCTAATGATTTATTTTGAATAAATTTAATATAAAATTATTTGGCTAAAGTTCATAAATTTTTCAAAAGGATCTTTGATCAATATTTCTGTATTTTCTTCAAGGAAGTTCATGTTAATTTATAGTGCCACCAGCAGTGGCAAATAACCATTTTTTCTCGATCCAGAAAAAAATCTGTGATTTATACAATTTTTTTGGTTTGGGTTTTTTGGGGTATGTGTGCGTGTTTGTGTACATGCACATATGCTATTTTGCTGAGGATTGAACCAAGGACTTTATGCATTCTAGGCAAATACTATATCACTGAGCTTGACCCCCAGCTGTGATTTTATTCTTAACATATATGAAATAAAAAGTAAAATGAAAGTGATTACCAGCTAGTTAATTCAACATCTCTCTTGCAAAATTTTTAACAAAATTAATCCAAACTCTTATGTCTAGAGAACATATTACTCATTATTATTCAATTAATTATTAGATCCTGTCTTATTACAAATCAATTTTATAAAATAAATAATTATCAGCAAGATAAGTTGAAAGTGTTACAGAAAAAGAAATATAAAAAGTATGATAACAGTTATTAGACTCCTTAGACTAGTGTTGGCTTCTCATAATGTGTGTGTGTGTGTGTGTGTGTGTGTATACATATATAGAGAGAGAGATAGATAGATATGGTATGAAAAACATGTGTACACTGTAAATCATTTGGGGGGATACCTATAATGCTTCATGAAGATAAAATTTTATTTCTCATGAATATATAGGAATGTCTGTAAACAATAACTTTAAAGAATAATTAACTTTAAATCTGTTTTAATTGAGGAATAATCATGACTGTGTACAAAAGATAATTTTCAATATATAACTTGACTGAATAATTTCAAAATTTCTTTTACATAACATTTACCAGAGTTGCTAGTAATTAACATTCACCAAATTTCAGGCTTTTTTTCCATTATTAACTTTCAAGTTTGTGTATCCTTTGGAAAAAAATTGAAATGAGAAATTAAAAACACAAGAACTAGAAAGGAAAATATTCAAGAACATAGAAATCTTATTAAGATAATAAATCAGCATGTGAAAAGCCAGATCACAAAATGAACTTTTTGTTTTCTAACAAAATAAATTTTAAGATAACTATATTTAACTGCAGATTTACCTTAAAACAAGAACAGGAGAAGAGAAAAAATACTGATTGGCTTTATGAAAAAATAGAGGAACAGTTAAGAGAAAAACAAGAGCAATATAATAAAGAAGTTGAAGTGAAACAACAGCTTAAAATATCTCTTAGAACATTAGATATGGAGTTGAAGACAGTAAGAAAGAATTTGAATCAGGTAAATTAATCTATGGTAAAATTTTTTATCTCTAACTTTATTTCATTAATATCACTTACAATGTCCCCTTAATTACATATATATATACATATATATATACACACACACATATATATATATATACACATATATATATATACACACACACACATACATATATATATAGTCATACATCACTTAACAGAGATATTATCTGAGAAATGTGTTCTTCAGCAGTTTCATCATTATGCAAACATCATAAGGATATGTTTACATGAAATTAAGATATCTACCACATCACAAGGCAATATATTTTTGAAGTATTACCATTCTTGATCAAAACTGGTTGTTGATCAAAACATTGTCATCCAACACATGACTCTATTATTAAAGTTGAAAACAAAATATTAATTTAACCTAAATAAATTGTAATATATGGATAAAATTATTTATTTGTAAATCTTAGCATCTCCTAGGTGCTTAGCATATGTTTTCTGAATAAACGTATGGAAGGTAAGTTGAGATTAATCACTAACAAATAATTAATTTAAGCATTTTTATGTTAAAATACAACCTGGCTTTGAAACTAAACTTTTTGTAAAGAAAATTTTATTTCATAATGTTATCTCTGCCTGTATTTAAGAACTATTTTGATCCTTGAATAATGTTGCTGTTATTTATCAGTTATCATTTGAGTAATTTATGTGGGATAAAAGGCCGTGTGCTTTAATAACTTCCTTTTAACATTTTTTTAAGATTCTGCTTTCATTTAAGTTTTTAAACTATCCCCCACAATGGTATAAGACCAAAAACTTAATGAAATGTATCCCTAGGTTTTAGAGGAACGAAATGACATCCAAAGGCAACTTTCTCAAAAAGAGAATGTCAGAATATTACAAGATGGGATTCTTTGCAAACAAAAGGAGATAGAAACGACGCAAGAGAAAATGAGTTCTGAGGTATTTTCTTAATTATTTTCAAATATATATATACATGTATTTGCATATGGCATATTTTTAAAACCAGCTATACACATCATGGAAAATACAGAGAATTTTTAAATCATATATTTATAGACATAATACATATATTTGGGGGTAGGGTAGTGGCATTTTTAGCCCATTGAATAAAGTAATGTTCTTAATTCATTTCTATTAGTCTATAACAGTCAACTAATTATTTGAACAATGTCTTGGTCTAAGGAAAAGGCTTTTAATATTGTTCATGGGAATTAATTATTTTTCTATAATTGCAAAACCCTTGCTACTAACAGTAGGTGTTGTAGTTGTTGGCAGTGATTTCACTCCCCTGTTATGTTAATGGGGAGATTTGCTACTCCTAAGTAAGGAGGAAGTATACTACTATAAAGTAAGGAGAAAAAGTATACCCAGCAGAGACCATATTTTGGATGTTACTTTGTCACTTTTGAGAAAAGTAAGTTTATTTCAAGTAATCTCCTATTTCAGCATGGAGAGCTTTTGAAAGCAGTGATATACCATAGTATATGCTTCAGCAATTGTTCTTCCACTACACTACATTCCCAGCCCAAAGTTTTTGTTGTGGTGTTTCTACTATAGGGGATGAAACCCAAGTCCATGCACATGCTAGGCGAGCACTCTACCACTGATCCATATCCCTGGCCCCAGATCTGTATATATTTATTTCATAGATTGCAAGATAACTTGTACAGAAAAACCATTATACTTTTCTCAAATTTGGATGTTTGAGTTAATTTTAAAACTACTTGAAAAGTCAGGCATTTCTTTATGTCCTTTTAGACATATTATGAAAGCACAGAAATGTATTTATTATATCCAAAAGAGAGAATTAAGAAAATTATCTAGATATTGCCATTGCATCTTTAAAGAAATTTTGTTGAAATATAATGAACATACCATACAGTATATTCAGTGTTTGCTATTTATTCATATAATTGTGTAACCATCACCACAGTCAATTTTAGAACATTTCATCACCTTGAATAGAAATCCCAAATCCCTTAAATGTCACCACTTAGTCCCTTTTTCTTCCCCAGTTATAGGAAACTACCAGTCTGTCTTTTTGTCCATATAATTTTCCTATTCTCCACATAAACAGAGTCCATCAAAAGTATTTAGTCCTTTTTGACCGGATACTTTAACTTCACATGTTTTCAGGATTTGTATGTATTATAGCAAATATCAGTGCTTCATTTCTATTATTGAGAAGTAGAAAGATCTTAGATTGCTTCCAATTTTTGGCTAAATGCTACCATGAACATTGATTTACAAGTTTTTGCATGAACGTGTTTTTATTCCTCTGCCATTGGATTTTATCCTCCAAGTTAATTGTGCTGATTTCATTGTCTCTCTGCCTAACTCAGGCTGTCCCCTTTCTGTCTCTTAAGTTTTTATTTAACTGACCTCATTTATTCAGAACTGGTTGACAATTTGCTGTTTTACTCAGTGCTTTCTTTGTTCTAACTCATTGATGTTATCATTTTCAGCAATAATCTACAGAACAATTTAGTCCTTAATTTTACATTATTATTTTTTTGCAGGACAGATAATCTTGTCTGAGTATATAATATGCATGTTATCTATCCTTGAATACATTGAAAATATTTTTACTTAAGATAAAATTAAGTACTTAATCAATAATTTTTGAGACATTGCCATAATAAATAAAACCTTATTAGATTTTTATTACAACTACATATTAAGCAATTAAATATAAAACTAAAAGCACTTAATCTAATAGAGGAGAATTGTTCTATCAAATTCTCACATTTTTCATAGCTATGGAAAAAAATCTAGATTTACCTTTGCTCATCGTGTAACCAGAACTGGAAATTTTAGATTTATAGCATTTGACCAGCTGAAAATTTCTGGCTACAGCTTTTCTGATATACCATACCACACAACCTTAATTTGCTCATCAGAGTGCTTGCTCTAGCAGCCCAATATAAATAGATGCTAGGAATGAATTAATTCAAAACTTTAATTTAGAAACAGAGGCCAGTATTTTCAAGCCAGTGATTTTAGACTGCATCTGATTGTCATGACAGTTATATACTGCTTAATTCAGAAGGTTATATGTACACCATACTACATGATCAGTGTCTACTGAGAGAAAGTAAGCTATAAACTATTATAAGTGGACAAAAATACTATTGGCAGATGGTATTAATGAAAGATTTAAGAAGTACTGTGGATGTATTCAGGCTTCATTATCCTGGTTTGCTTCCACTTTCAATGGTGTGATGAATTATTTGGTACAACTTGTATAGAAGACCTCTTCCATTGGCATACCTAAAATATCAAATTTTATTGTACTATGAAATACAATAATAATATTAATGCTATAGTATTTGTCATCATTTATCTATATGATTTTTTTAAAATTATAGTTGATGAAGTGGTGCTTAGAATACAAAAATTTAAATGCTATTCCTTAGGAAATTTACTGCTTTTCCCCATTTTATTGAATTTTTGAGTATCTGATAAAACATAATTTAAAACAAAAATAATATGTTTCCTACAGCATGGGTTGATACACTTTTTCTGTAAAGAGCCAGGTGATATTATTTTAGGCTTTGTGACGCATAACATCCCTGTTGCAGCAACTCTGTTAACTCTGCAGTTCCAGCACAAAAATAGCCATAAATAGTGTGTATGAAGGGATATACCTAAGTTCCAGTAAAATCTTAGCACAAAAACAGAATGGGCAGATTTGTACTAGATTATCAGTAAAGACGATTTTTTTCATTCCACATTTTAGTTGCAAGAAGCACAGAATCAACACACAGAGGCTGTACGATGTGCTGAAAAGATGAAAGATCGCCTACAAAAGTGCAATTTAAAGCAGAATTCAAAAAAAACTTGAGTATTTATAGGACAAATAAGCAGTATATTATGAAAATTTTATCAGTTATGATAATGAATAAATCTGTGTGAATCGAGGGAAAATTTTTATCTTTAAATACATAACTTAGGATTGGTAGTATAGCTCAATGGTAGAGCATGTGATTTTCATATATTCAAATCCTGGGTTTGATTCTCAGCACCACAAAAATAAAGAAAAGAAGTGCATAATTTTTGCACATTTTCCATAAATTTTGCACATTATATAAAACACATCCAGAAAAATTATATAGATGAGACAATTACCAAATCAACTACTTTGCAAATTTTAAAGAATTTATATAATTACTCTTTCAGATGTTGTTTAGAAATTATATATTTTCAAGATTGGTCTATGATAATAATTATTGTAAATATACATTTTAGGCTTGAACTTAAAAATTCCAAGTTAAAAGTTATAATAAAAAAGCAAGCAGAGAAAAATGAACAGCTTCAGAAAAACCTGTTTAGTGCAAATTTGGTAAGTTAGTCTCCATCAATTTTTTTCATAATGAAAAGGAATTTTTTTTTTTTTTTTTGGTACCGGGCGTTGAACTCAGGGGCACTTAATGAGCTGCTGGAATTACAGGCATGCACCACCACACCTGGCACTGAAAAAGAGTTTTTATTAAGTACTAGTATATAGTAATATTTTAGGCAATATGAAAAATTTCACTGAAACATTATAAAATAAAAACAAGACAAATATGCTGGTCAGCATCCTATAGGTGAGTCATTCCCAATCCCAAGATTAGATACAATCAAAGTAATGCCACTAAGAATCAACATAATATGTGTGAGATTAGCTATTTACAGAAATAATCCATACCAAGTAATGGTTTATGAGGCCATTATGAGGTCTATGAGAAGTGAACTAGAAGGAAGAAATAAAAGTATATATGACCTTGGTAAAGAGGTGAGGAGCCAAGCATGATAGCACACACATTTAATCCCAGCTACACCAGAGATGAAAGCAGGAGGATCACAAATTTGAGACCAGCTTAGGCTAAAAAGGGCTATGGATATAACTCAGTTGTGGAGCACTTGCCTCACACAAAGATTCTGAGTTCTATTCTCAGTACAACAAAAGGGAGAAAAAAAGAGGTGAAGGCTGTAAATGTGGATTAGGTAATCTGGGTTGAAACCTTGAATGTTAAGGAACTCCAAGAGCATTTCCAAAGAGAAATAGAAAGGGACAGGAATACACACAAGGGGCTGCTACTTTTAGCAATGCAGTGGAGCTAGAGGAACAAAGCAGGGAGGGTATGGTCATCATTAGCAGTTGCTCCTGGGTAATAAAGCAAAGTAGACTTTAAAAAGATCCTGGATGAACCTCAGATAATTTTTATAGGAATTATAGAATTGAAAACAGAGTTTGTGTAAAAGAAGATACTAAGTAATAAAAAATAGATCTGTAGCTGAGACCATGTATTAAAGAACATTAGAGTCTAATGGAAGGGGAAATACAGAATGATAGGAAAGCCACAAGAACCAGGGAAAAGTTGTGTTTTTGTATATCATGGAGAAGACTTAAACTTTACAAAGAAAAGGATAAGAGCAAAGAAAAAATTTAAACTTCTGGGAGAATGCTTGCAAAGAATGAGAATACTTTTTTAATTCCAAAGTCAAGTGAAAATCAAAAATGTAAATGGAAATCAAATGAGAATTTACAAAAAAAAATTCTTAGTAAAATATGATTTTAATAAACTTGGATATCATTCTTAATGGAATGTTTCTAGTTCATCTTGAACTAAAATATAAATATAACCACTCGCTAAAATTTTTTCATTAATACTAATGTGTAAAAACTTCTATTTTAAACAAACTTTGGCAATTTAAATTCCAGAAAAAATAATGAAGAAAGTGTATACCAATTTAAACTACTTGAAGAAAAGCCACTATTTTTTAAGTGTGTCTTTATTGGCATCAGGTTTATAAAATGATCACATATTACTCATGAACATAGGAGAAATAATATATTTACAAATAAAGGAATGAGTCTCTAGATTTTTAAAGATAATTTTCTTTTAAAATTTTTCCCAAAGTATGATGACAATACACTAGGGCTTCCACTAACAGCTTCTTTGAAGCCCTTTTGGCTTTTTTTCTTTTCTAGGTTATTTCTGCTTCCACGTACCTCCTGGTCCAAAGGCATCTTACGTGTTCTATTTTTTTTTTAATGGCAGCAACTCATATAGTTTCAGTATCTCTGCCAGTTATTGATGTATAATAAACCACCTCAAAATTTAATATTTCAAAACAACATCTATTTTGTTCATAATATGCAGTTTAATTAAGACTCAGTGAGGCCCAATCAGAAGTTAGCCATTGAAGCTGGCCTGTAGCAGGGCCATCATCTAGACTACCTACATGAAGACTCCTCATGTAGTTCGGTTTCCTCATAATGTGAGAGCTTGATCATAAGGGCAAGTTTCCTTAGAGAGAGTCAGGAGGAAGCTATATTCCGTTTTCTTACCTAAGAAGACATAGGGCAGTTCCATCAAATTCTGTTCACTAGAAAGCAGTTCCTAGGGCCTCATTCTCAAGAGAGTATATTTCACAGGATAAATTTTAAAGAAAGTATATACATGTTATAAAACTGCTACTCTAAATAATCATTGTGTCCAAAGAAAAGTAGTTCTTCTCAACTCAGTATGTTATATATCAGTGTTTCATTTCTATTATTGAGAAGTGGAAAGACCTTAGAGTGCTTCCAATTTTTGGCTAAATGCTACCACCAAATATTAATTACTGTTTAACATGCTTCCTAATTTGTGGAAAGAATCAGAAGATTACAGGATAATGTTCTTTAATTCTGTCATTTTTGTTCCAAAAAATGCACAGTTCATGTAACTAACTAAACTTTTAAACTGAGAAATAGCATTGCTCTTTACTGGGGACAATTACTTCTTGAAATGCAATTAAAATTAATTTAAAACACTTGCACTTCAAAAAAGCTGTTGACCTTAGAATCCATATTTACAAGATTTATTAATTAGAGACTTATTCTCAAAGTCTTATTCTGGGAGTCACTTTTGATACAGGCCTAGATAACTTAATATGATGTCCCGAAAACATCTTTAGAAATTATGAGGAGTGAAGTTGGGGCAAGGGTAAAAGACTCTCTTCTAAGAACTAACTTAGTCATTTTAAGAAGTAGAGACATAAAACAGTCATAGAAAAATAAAAGTTTAAAATCAAATATAGATGTTTTGTTGACAAAATGATGAGTATAAAGAATACATTTTTGTGATTCCTAGTGATTTTAACTTTCTTAATTTTCTGAGTAACTTAAGGGACCACATTCTAAGAGTCTAATAAAGATTATGTTTTATTGCAACTGAATTTATGTCAAAATTTGTTGTTAATTTTGTGTTTGACTATGCTCAGTCTGCTTCCTTCATTATCAAACTATATTATTTTATTCAATCAGATTAATGATATTACAGTAAATTGGAAATTGCATCTTTAAAATATCTACTTCTAGATTTTTTAAAAAATATATTTTTTGCAGGAGTTATTATCTATGAAATCTATACAAAAAGAATATGAAAAACTAGAGAAGAATAAAAAAAAGTTGGAACAAAAAGTAGAAAGACTCAAAAGCCATATTGAAAAGAATATGATAAAACATGATCAAGTAAAACAGTATGAAAAAGAAGTTCAAAAAAGAGCAAGACAAGATTTAGAAGAAAAATTAGAACAAATCAATCTATTTTTACAGGTTAATTTATCTTTAATGTGCTTTAAGTTTATTTCACTACAATTTTCTTTTGGATATACGCATCGGATGTGTTTCCTCTACCTCCCTTATAACAATTTGTCTTCCAAATTTGTAGAAGGAAGATGACATTTTATTCTCCCTCTAAATATGTTTGTTTCAATCCTATTATAACTGGAGCTTTCAGAATAATGATTCTCACTAGATAATCATTTGATTTTTAAGAATAATTGGCATAAAACAAGATCATTAGAGGGAAAAGAAAAAATGTGATGTACAAATTATATCCTATTCTTAAATGAATCTTAAATTTCATTGTTCAACTTTTTAAATTTTTGAGTTGTCTATTATGAGCTACAGATGTTGCTCAGTAGTAGAACACCTGCCTAGCATATAGGAGACCCTGGATTTAATTTCCAGAACTGCAAAAAGAAATGACTTGTTTTTTTAATAATTCAGATTTAACATACTTATTTATTTATAATAGATATTTTAAATTCGGCATCTTTTTTCACATATTTTAAATTACTAATGGAAACAGTGGACTGAGACTGTAGCTCAGTGTTAAAGCACCAGCTCAGCATAAGCAAGGTTCTGGGTTCCAACACTGAAAGGGAAAAAAACCCCGAAGGGATACAAATAACAGTTATTTGGTTTATAATTATTTGTAAAACTATATCCTTTAAATTTGCTTTAGACACAGGCAGAATCTCAACACTTACAGCAGATAAGAGAAAATAATAGTGCTTCAATAAAAGGCCAGATGGAACTCCGAATTAAACATCTGGAATCTGAACTGTTTAAAATGAGAACTCAAGAAGATTCTAATAGAAAACAACTGGGAATATATCAGGAAATCTGTCTAGAAGGATTCCAAATTACAAAATCATTGTCAGATGAACTAGACAAGTAAGTCAAAACACAGAATCATAGAAAATAAATTAAGTTCATTTGAATATAATTTTAGTGAGACAAATTCACGAGATTAGTAGGATGTGAAACTAAACTATATAATATAATTTGGGGAAATAATAGTAGTAAATCAACTTGCCTTTAAAATGCTAGATTGGGTAGTTTCCCACCCCAACTCATACTTTGTTTTGTTTGTTTTTCTATTTATTTATTTATTTATTTATTTTAATTAGGTCTATAATGCAACAGAATGCATTTTGATTCGTTATGTACAACTTTTCATTTCTCTGTTTGCACACAATGTAGCATTGCACCATATGTGCATTCTTACATGTACCTAGGGTAATGATTTCATCTCATTCCACCATCTTTCCTGCCCTCTTACCCACTCCCCTTTGTGTAATCAAAGTTCCTCCATTTTCCCCATGTGCTCCCCCACCCCCATTATGGATCAGTGTCCACTTATCAGAGAGAACATTTGGCCTTTAGTTTTTTAGGATTGGCTTACTTTGCTTAACATTATCTTCTCTAACTCCATCCATGTACCTGCAAATGCCATAATTTTATTCTCTTTTATTGCTGAGTAATATCCCATTGTGCATATATACCACAGTTTCTTCATCCATTCATCTATCAAAGGGCATCTAGATTCCTTCCACAGTTTAGCAATTGTGAATTGAGCTGCTATGAACACTGATATGGCTGCATTATTATAGTATGCTGTTTTTAAGTCCTTTGGGTATAGACCAGGGAGTGGGATAACTGGGTCAAATGGTGGTTCCATTCCAAGTTTTCTCCATACTGCTTTCCAGATTGGCTGCACCAATTTTCAGTCCCACCAGCAATGTGTGAGTGTGCCTTTTTCCCCATATCACCAACACTTATGGTTATTTGTATTCTTAATAGCTGCCATTCTGACTGGCATGAGATGAAATCTTAGAGTAGTTTTAATTTGCAGTTCTCTAATTACTGTCTCCCCACCACCAGCCTTAATAGTCTTATAGAGTTAACCTGATCTTTCAGCTAAACATTTTTGAAGTTTTTGTAATTAATACAGTTATATTATCACAAATTTTCTTGTCAGTACTCCCTTAAATAGAAATATTAACAAATTTAACTGTGTTCTTGAAGATTACTACTTAAACCCAAAAGGTCAAGTACTACTATAATACTGGTCCTCTGAATGCATTCTGACACTTGGTAAATTAATTTGATTGGGATATTTGGTGTTATCACTAGATGCCTGCAGACAAACTGTTCTTTTTAGTTATTCTATTCTTCATAAAGACATATTTGTGATATAGAAAAATATTGAAACAGGGATTAGGAGGTATTTAGTTGGCAAAGTGATAAAAATAGTTTCTTTGTCAGTATGAAAGACTATATCAAAAACAGAAATGGCTAGTCCCCCCTCTGATGCCTTGATAGCAATCAGTTAATTTCTTTAGGAGCTACCTTAGTTCTTTCTGATCACCAACTCACCTATCTCCTCTAGCTTTTGATGCTCTGAATCATACCTCAAGGCCAGATGCTTAGTTTCTCCAAGATAATGGATGAAATGTACCAATGGTAAAAGACAAGACATGAAAAATGCCTTTAAGGGATGTTTTAGTAAATCCCTAAACTGGTTTACAAGTATTTCTAGCTTTTTTTTCAGTTTTACTTTTTAATTGTGTCCATTTGAGTACATGTTTTAATATGTTTATGTATACTGACATGACTGTTATTCTCAAGCACATTAACACATTCATCACATAGTTACACCTCACATGGTTACCTTTTATTTCTAATGGCATGCTCCAGAATGTCATAGGTAGAGCCAGAATCCTTCCAGAAGGCAGCAGCATTACCTATTGAGCCACACATCAATGCACCATTTCTCTTCATTTGTTTGCTTTAGAAATCTCCCTAGAAGTATATGTACTTCTTTAGAAATCTATAATTGTATACAGTAGGTATGTTGTGACACATTTTCAGTGTTAAAACACTGTTTAAGGGGCTAGGATTGTGGCTCAGTGGCAGAGCGCTTGCCTCATACATATTAGGCATTGGGTTCCATCCTCAGCACCACATAAAAATAAATAAATAAAATGAAGGTATTGTGTCCATCTACAATTTAAAAGAAATTTAAAAAACACTGTTTAATGGGAAATGCTATTCATTCTTATAGCAATATTTTTTAAATGCAAATTATTTTGGAATCATTTAGAGAAAAGTGAAATATTAAATATTTGTCTTTTTCAGGACTAATGAGAAGCTAAAGGAGGTCAATACCAAACTTCTCATAGAGAAACACTACAACAGATCTTTACAACATAGCACTCTTAGCACAAGGCCTGTCTCTGAGTGTCATTGTACTGTAAATCATGATTGCTTTGTATTCGACAGAAGTTTTACTCCAAGAAGAAATTTAGTGGCTCCTACCTCAAACCCATGGCCTTCAAATGAAAGCATGCAGAATCCTAGGGTTAGTTATTTTATTTTTTTCCATTCTTTTCAGATTTCTGATATAATTCTTGTTTTTAATTTGATGAAATGCTAAGTCATTTAGTTGACTTATGCATGTTAAGTAAAGGTCAAAATAATCTGTGTTAATGAAGAAAGAAAAAAAATTCAAAATTTTTTCTAAAGTCCCTAGAGCTTTTATTTTTAAATAATACTCATGTGTTAACTTCATTTATTAAATGGGACTAAACTGATACATTTTAATGCTCTTGAAAAGCTGTGTGTAAATTATATTTTTAGAAATCTATGAATCTATAAAATCTATGAAATTTATGAATATTATCACTTACAACTAAAGGTATACTTTGAGATGCTTTTTTTCTAAGTGATGTTTGTTTGGCTGTGCTTTACAACACAAAGTTTTCCTGTATCAAGTTTACCACCCCAAATTATAAGTGAAAAATATCCAAACATTTAACCACATATGGATGTTTATAATTTAAACAGACCTGAGGTGTTTACTTTTTTAAATTTATTTTTTTAAATAAACAACAACAGTGGAATGCATTACAATCCTTCTTACACATATAGAGTATAATTTTTCTTAACTCTGTATATAAAGTATGTTCATGCCAACTTATGCCATTATACATGTACTCTTTTTTGCATTAAATTCTTAATACACATATATACCACAGTTTTTCTTATCTTTGATTGTATAAAAGGTATGTTGGCACCAAATTCAAATCTTCATACATGTATTTTGTATAATGATGCCTATCACATTCCACCATCCTTGCTAATCCCCTTCCTCCTACCTTTCCCTCCCATCCCTCTTCCCTATCTAGAATTAATCTAATCCTCCCATGCTCTCCCTCCCTACCCCACTTTGAGTCACCCCCTTTATATCAAAGAAAACATTGGGCATTTTTGGGGGGTATTGGCCAACTTCACTTAGCATTATCTTCTCCAACGCCATCCATTTACCTGTAAATGCCATGATTTTGTTCTTTTTTTAGTGCTGAGTAATATACTTTTTATGAATGAAATAAATCTGTTACACTAAAAAGATTATTTTCTGTTTCTAAGTTGAAGGTTTTTTCATTTTCTTAAACAAGAATATTCCTTAATTGCTATTTTATTTATATAACCTATATATCATTTCTTAGAAAATGTTCATTGCTGCATTACGCAAATACTTGAGTTTTTAAAATTAAGTTCTCTTATGTCTATTTTGCTTCACTTGAATAATTGATTGGCAGTAATATCAACAACCTTTAGCAACTACCATCACACAAAATCAATTATGTTTTTCCTACCCAGAATCTCATGTAATGCTGCACATTCCCCATCTCCTCTGGAGATGTAACTGGAACCTTCTAATCCAACCATGAGATTTCATTCGTAGGAAAAGAAAAAATCCATTTCTGAAGATCAAAAATGGTCCCAAGAATGATAAACTATATCAATTGTAGCATTGGTTTAAAAAAATGAAAATGTAAATATGCTTGACGCAGTTTGAGATATTTGTCTAATGTTTGACCCTTTTTTGACTAGAGGGAAAATTATAAAACCAAAATATTTAACAAAATAAAAATAAATAGTAGTTTTCATTGTTTATCTTTACTACTAAAATATCCATTTCAATCACTGCTCATTGGCTTAAAGCTTTGATTTTGCTTTTATGATCTGATCAGTAGTTTGCTAGTGCACAGAAGGGTAACAGCTTTGTGTTACCTGAGACTTCAAACTTATTTTTTTATTTGGCTTCATTTCCTAACAAAATCACAAAAGAGTAAATCTATGGTTTCTGAAGCAGCATTGCAGATTGTAGTAAAATAGCTTAAAATGGAATAAATTAAATGACTTCTAATATATAAATTATAATATTCTAGCTAGCAGATATATTTTCATCATTTTACTGCCTTAACTTGTGTTTTTCTGGGAAAATGAGCGAATCGGTGTCTTAAATGACTCAGAGTCATGAAATTAGATTACTTATACAAGAAGATAATGAATGCTAAACGCATATGTAAATAGTTAAATCTGATTCAAATATAAAATATTCTCATTAGTTCTTACCAGAAAACTCAGGTAATGTATTACTTTATAAAAGAATGATAAATTAGTGTGTAATTGTAGACATCACACAAAGGAAGATTTTTGTGAAACTATTTCTCCCCTCTTAATTGAGGAAGGGAGGAGGAATATTTATTTTTCAGTATTTCTAGGTAATTTTCAGAATAGCTTCTTTTAAATTTAATCTGGTAGTTTCATGGTATACATGGTTTCCTTGTGGGGCATTAGTTTGCCACATCATACTATACTTTATAAAAGAAATAAAAACAATCTTCTCTCAAGATCCTAAGACATGTCTTTTATAATCACTTCACAATGTCTTGAAAGAGTACTTTTGCAGTTGTAATTTACAAAATGCTTAGTGTTGTATAGAGTTTCTAGGAATTTGATTATTTCTGCTGTGCTCTAAAATGATAGTAGAAAAGAGGTGGGGTTTGGAAGATGCTTTAGAAAGCAGTAGGCTTTTAATGATTTTTTAACTATGATTTAAGAAAGTACAGTGATAACTAGCATTAATACCAAATTTGTTTATCCATCTCTTTATTTGTAAGGTTTTAACATTTCATGAAGTTCTATCTTACTAGCATTTTTTCCAAACTTTAAGGAAGATTATTATAATAAATGATTGCTTTAGTCTGAGATCTCAATTGGACTGGTTGTTGAAGCAGTTTTCCCCACGTTCATAACATTAAACATTAGTATATCTCCTACCCTTCCGTGAAATTTAGCCTCCACCTAACAAACTGGCTTTAACCTGTGTTTTTACTTTTTTTCAAGCAAACTTTCTTAAATTTTTGTGTCCATATTAATAAAAGAAATGTTGGGTCATAATCCAGATGCATATTTTAAATTTTTTGCCAGGAGAGGTTTCACATGACATTATGATATTTTTACTTTTTTCATTTTTGTATTTAAGGTTCTGTGCTGAAAAATTAATAGCATAGGACATATATTGATTTTTTAATTTTCTAAAAGTAGCAAATTCAGAGTTCATTTTAAGGAAGAATATATTAAATTTTAAAAACTGACTCAACTTTTATAAAAGGCAGTTTTTCTAAGAATCACAAAGTAACACATTCATTATAAAATACAAGTTGAATAGTTTAACTTACATTAATAACATAAAACATCACCCTTCTGAAACATAAATTATATTTTATCAGAGTAATCTAAACAGCATTGCACACATATTCTCCATTATCTGAACTTGAAATAAGTAGGAATTTTTTTCATGTTACTTTTATTATAATTATTAGCACATATTAATTGTACAAAACAATGGATTTCATTGCAACATTTTCATACATGCGTATATCATGCTTTGATCTTAACTGCCTTTCCTTTCCTGATCCCTTTCTCCTTTCCTAATAGTCCCTAATATGCTTTTTGTCATCTTTTTTTCTCACATATGAAATGCAGTTCTTTCTAAATCTGGCTTATTTTACTTAACACATAATGGTATGTCTCATCCATTTTCCTGAAAATGGCATGATTTTATTTTTCTTTGTCTGAATAATATCCCCGTGTGTGTGTGTGTGTGTGTGTGTGTGTGTGTGTGTGTGTGTTCATGTGATTTTTTTAAAGCAATTCTCAGGTTCTAATCTCTAAAAGTCTCAAAGGCCACATTTTCTAAGTGATATATCATCCTCATAATAGTGTCTCAAATTTAACTTAAACATAATGTTTGGCTTATTTCAGGTCTGGCAGGAGTTGCAAGAAAATATAACTAGAGAAGTAACAGAAGGTATGTTGCCAAAATTTATGAATTAAATTTAGATTAATTCATTTCTGAAGTAAACTATAGATAACAAGTGTCATCCCTTTGATTAATAGATTCTACATTATGTACTTTTTCTTACACATATCCAATGAACTTTATTCTGTTAGTCACCTTTCTGTCACTGTGATTAAGATACCTGACAAGAAGAACTTAGGTCATTAGTTTGCTTGAGCCCTCAGAAAAAGTTCCAAATTTCTTGGCATGGAATTAAAAAATACATAAATCAATTTGATTCATTTCAAGTTATGCTGCCTTATCTCTTCCCATTTGTTCCTACTCAGCTCTAGCTTTTAGCCAAACTGAACCACTATAATTCTATAAATGTTCTTTCTCAACTTTAGCTGTTTGCATGTACTTCTTTCTTCTTTTTGATATACTTTCTCCTTATCCTTCAATACCAATTTACATACCATCTCTAACAAAAAGCCTATAATATTGGCACAAAACTGGTATCTAAGTGCTTTTTCTGTGTTCCAATAGTGCTCTTTTGTACCTGTAACAGTATCTGTGACTTTGTATGGAACTTGCCTGTTCATATTTTTCACGTTATGCTACACAATTGTCGAGGAGTGACTTGTATCATCTTCATCTTGTCATTCCAGTGCTTGTTAAAGTACCTTAGCATCCAGTTGTTAAATAAGTGAATGAAAAATGGAAAAACCAGAAGCTCTGATACTTACCCATAATGATAATTAATTAATTCAGTGTACAACTATGGGCAAATTATACTTAGTAGTAATTTTGTACTATCACCATGTATATTTATTTTTCATTCATACAAAAATTGATCAAAGTTGTCAACTTTGTTTTACTGACTTGTACTTAATCTTCTAGGAAGTCTGACAGAGAATATAATTCTTTTCTTTTCTCTCCAGCTGCTGCTGAACTTGAATCTAGATCCTTTAGAGTTTCTCCACTAGGATGTACTAATAAATAAAGTCAAGATCTACTTTCAGAAGCATAAGAACATGCAGAGATTTTTAAATAAAAAATATATGATCTGAAAGACAAATTGTTCTTTGTTATGTTGTTTATATAACATCTTAATTGCTTCCCAATAAATATGAAGTATGAAAACTTTATTGAAGGAGAAAATGTTTTTATATCATATATGTGATAAAAATTCATATAATATTTTTAACTCTTTCTTGGGTTTTGCACACTTAAATTTCTCGAATACCAGCAGCTTAAATAGTACCCAACCAGGTTGTCGTTAATAATTTGGTGGACTTAAATCTCACCTTAATGATGTTTTTTTTTGTATCTCCCAGTTTGTATCATTATATAGAAACCTAAAAATTTTGACAGATCATGTTGACATAATGGCACTATAGCCAATGCCAATGTTTTAATATAATCATTGTAGTGCTATCTAACATGATTTTAACTTTTTTCATAATTTTAAGCACTGACTTATAGTTCTTCCCTCATGGAAACACATATACCTAAAACTTTTGACCTTTGTGTTTTTTCATTTGTTTGTTTAATCATCTTTGATTTACATTTTGAAATGATCTGAAAATTAGGAAAAATGTTCCAAGCTCTAGTGCAAAGAACTTTTCCCCTGAATCAGTCAAGAGTAAATTGCTGATATATTACCGTCATCCCTTTTACCTTAGTATATGTTTCATATAAGTCAGAGCATTCTGCATAACTACAATACAACATTAATCCATTCCACAATTTAATTATCAGATTCTTTTCAACTTTTGCTATTTGTCCATAGTGTCCTTTATAGCAAAATGATTCCATTCAGATCCATGGATTAATCACATTTAGTTATAGTATTTCTTAGACAATCTCAGTTTGGAACTTCCTCAGTCTTTCCTTCACATTCATAACCTTGAATCTTTTAAGGTAGAATGTCCCTCTGTTGGATTTTTTCCATGATGATTAAACTCAGATCATTATGTTTTTTGGCAAGAGAAAAATAAGTGATTCTGTGATTTTTGCAGTGCATCTTACCATTTAACCTATAATTTTGATTTTCCCATTATCAGTGATGTTAACATTGATTGCTAAAGGTCATATCTACTGGGGTTTTCCTCTGTAATTTTTTTTCACTTTGTAATATTTAGTGTTTTGTGGGACATGATTTGAAACTGTTCCTCATCAAACTTTCAATTTTTTAATTTACTGTTATCAATATGGATTCATGGTTTATTTTAATCAGTGGGCTATAATTTGATAATATTTTTTAAACTTATTTGTTTCTTTTGAAATGTTCTATTTTGACAATTTTGGACTTTTGGAAAATTTGTAAAAATAGTACAAAGAATTCTAGAATACCATTTGCTAAATGTGAACATTTTACTATATTTGATTAATCCCTTCTTCCTTCTCCTCTTGTCTTTCTAGAAATTATAAATATAGATAACTAAAAAAGTTTTTATTATCTATGAATTATTAGTGATGCCTCTCCATTCCTGAGTACTTGTATTTCCTGAAAACAAGGAATTACTTTCATGGCTATCATAATAATACAATCAGGAAATTTTCTGAAATTCATTCACAAAAAAATGTTGTTGTTTTTTTTTTGTACCTGGGATTGAACTTAGGGCACTTGACCACTGAGCCACATCCCCAGCTCTATTTTGTATTTTATTTAGAAATAGGATCTCACTGAATTGCTGAGTTCCTTGGTTTTGCTGAGGCTAGTTTTGAACTTGAGATCCTCCTGCCTCAGCCTCCCACTCGGTGTAATTACAAGTATGCACCTCCATGCCTGGCTTCATTCAATATTTTTTATATATATAATATTTCTGTTGCAGTAACAGTCTCCTGGGTTGATAAAGTAAGAGCCATGTTGGGAAAGCCCACATGGCCAAGAACTGGAACAGCCTCTAATAAAGTATAGGCAATGTATAATACCTGAAGATAGCCTCCATCCAGGTGTCAGAAAATATCTGAGGACCTCATTCATACAATCACAGGGATGCATGGAGGGATATACTGTCAATTGATTCCATTATTGGCCAATGATGGCTTTGATTATTTAAGAGGTCTTCCAGGTTTGTTCCTGCTAAAACTGCCATTTATCTTTTCTATTTCATAAACATCTCATGTGGAAACATTTTGGGATTCTGTAAATGTCTAATTACTTCAGAAATTTTTACCCACTAGAATTAGAATCTCATTAACAATTCTTGCTTGAGTCAAATTATTACTATTATGGTTGCCAAATGATGTTTTTCTTTCATTTCTTCTACACCAAAAATAAGAACAACACACAAGTGGGGAAGACATGGATTATTTTGTTATTCACATGTCCCAGGTTTGACCATTAGTAGCAATTTCAAGCTGATTCCACATCTTTTTGCTCTGTCTGCATTTTTCTTTGAGTACTTTCTTACCTTCTGGGATGACAAGGTATTCCGAACTTATCTTAGATTTTCTCTTTCTCAGCCCTGGAATCAGCCATTTGACTTAGAAACCCTGATTCCTTTTACCCACATGTGGGTACTAGTTGTAGTAGGTATGCATAGTGCTCCTGGGGTTGTCAATGCTCATCAGCTTCCTTAGGGAACACATCAGGGAAAGTATGTGAATATATATATATGCATCAAAATATATTGAAAACTGTGTTCTTACTGATAATCTCAATCCAATCCCATATCTGGTTTTTCCCATTCCATGTTCATTTATACTTGTTTTGATTTTATGTAGCTGTACAAACATAGGAGCTACACTGTGATAATTCAAAACATGCATACAGTGTGTAACATTCAGTGCTAGTTAACATTTTCATCTCCTCAAACTTTTTATCTCCTAAATTTTTTAGTGTGAATAGTGTTTATTTTTTCTATATTTTATTGGTGCACTATAATTATGTATAATAGTGGGATTCATTATATGCACACAGTATAACTATAATTTGGCCAATATTATTCTGTGTCATTTCTCCTTTTCCTCACCTTCTACCTCCCCCTGGTCCCTTTCCTATACATATCTCGCCTTAATTTTCTTGAGATGCTGCACGTGCACGCACACAAACCACTTTTTTTTCCTTTTTTCTATATAGCTTCCACCTATGAATTAAAACATATTAGCCTTGACATTATGAGTTTCGCTTATTTCACTTAATATAATGTTCTTAAGTTCTGTTCATTTTTCTGCAAGTGACACAATTTCATTCTTCTTCATATCTGGATAAAACCATTCATTCATTTATGGACACCTAGGCTGGTTTCATTGTTTGGCTATTGTGAATTGTACTGCTATAAACATTGGTATGTATCTATCAGAAAGGGAGCCATCAAGAATACAATCAATAATGTACTGATTTAATTCTTCAAGATAAATATCAAGGAGTGCTATAGCTAGGTCATATGTTGATTTGGTCCCTAGTCTTTTGAGAAACTTCCATATAGATTTTCATATTGTTTGTACTAATTTATAATCCATAGTGTAAAAGCATTCCTTTTTATCCACATCCTCTCCAACGTTTATTATTGATTATATTTTTTGATGCCTGCCATTCTAATTGGAGTGAGTTGAAATCTCAGTGTAGTTTTGATTTGTATTTCCCTAATTACTAAAGATGCTGAGCCTTTCTTATGTATCTATATTTCATATATTTTTATATTTATTTATTTGGTCATTTGTATTTCTTCTTCTGAAAAATGTCTGTTTAGTTCATTTGCCCATTTATTAAAGAGGTTTTTTTGGTGTTAAGTTTTTTGAGTGATTTATAAATTCTGGACATTAATCCTGTCAGAAAATGGCTAACAAATACTTCCTCTCATCCTTTAGGTCCTCTTTTCATATTATTAATTGTTTCCTTTGTCAAGCAGAAGCTTTTTAATTTGATGTCATCCTTATTAATTTTTGGCATTATTTTCTGAGCTTAGGGTTGTACTGGGGAAGTCATGGCCTGTGCTTATACATTGGGGTGTTGACCCTAAGTTTTATTTTAGGAATTGCAAAGCTTCTAGTCTAATTCCTAGGTCTTTGATCCATTTTGA